ACTAAGGCCGCCGCCGTCAATAAGTCGACCCCCTTATTCGAGTTTTTTTATAAATCACAATCGATGAAATCCGCTCATCGAGCTCGGCCGAAACACGACCTCAATAAGCGGAGAGACTAACTGTGTGGGTCAGAATCTGACCTCCCGGTAATTAACGGAGTTAATCTCCTCTTGAGCTAATCCATAATTAATAAGTGGTACGGCCACTTATTTATAAGAGGATTCGACTCTGGTCCGATTGAATCTACGAGGGCACGACCCATTCATTCCCCCACGGGGACGGAACCTCAGCGTGGCCACGGCCATTTATTGCCAGCTCACGGAGCTCACATCTATAAATACTAAGAGTGGAAGCCCTAGAAAGGGGGCTGCTTCTTCACTACTATAGACAGGAGAGAGAAGGGAAAAATATACCCATCTTATGGGAAGAGAAAACACCATTGTAAGGCTCTGAACCTGTTCATGGGGAGGCAGCCCAAACAAATATTATCAATAAAGGCTTTTAATGTTTCTCCCCCTAATTCTGAGTACTTATTTTCGTTTCTTTCATTTGGTCCAATGGATTATTACGATTTGCTATGATTTTCCCGTGATTATTTGTATTGTTTTGCACTCAAAAGATATGTCATAACTTTTGAGCAAACAGGCGACCAACACAAATTGACATAATAGTAAATGACCACTTTCTGATATTATTGCCTCTTCTGTTGAGCCGAGGGTCTCCTGGCACCCTTCCGGGGTAGGGGTAAGGTCTGCATACACTCTACCCTCCCCAGACCCCACTAATAAAATTTTACTGGATTGTGTTACTGTTGTTGTTGTTATAGTAAATGACCACTTTCCGCGCAAGATGCAAAGAACACACGTAATAAATGATATTAAAATAAAAGTAAATTGTTTGTATGATTTACTTATGTCATACATCAATCTCTAAATGCACCAATCTTAACTCTGAACCCATGATGAGTGTCTATGTCAATATTGCACTAAATGACCTAAAATCACATGAAAGATAATTAGTATTGACACACAAGCCGAAATTTATGGAAATTTAGCGAAAATACGACAACTTTTTTGTTTTTACATAAACGACGCCAATTAATTGAAATTTTTAGTTGTGTTGGTATGTATACTCCAATTTTGCTGGAAATCTTTTTAATATTGTTAGAGAACTACAGGGCAGCCCGGTGCACTAAAACTCCCGCTATGTGCAGGGTCCAGGGAAGAGGCAGACGACAAAGGTCTATTGTACGCAGCCTTACCCTGCATTTCTGCAAGAGGATGTTTCCAGTACTTTCCACGGTTGAACCCGTGACCTCCTGGTCACATGGCAGCAACTTTACCAGTTACGCCAAGGCTCCCCTTCTATTGTTAGAGAACTATGTACCAATAAAAAAATACTGAGAATTTTTAGTGTTATAGAAGTTAATTTTTTTTAAAAAAACCATACTATAAAAAAGCTCATATATAACAACACAGACAATAAATGATTCATATAGCAAATTCTAACTTGCTCGAAATTGGGACGTAGTCATTCTTTGATAAATGTCAAGGAATATTTAGCGTATATTAACTTTTTAGCAATCTCTCCAAATATTGATTATTGATTATCATTTAGTTATTAATTAGTCGTCACCCTATATTAGAACACCTTTGCCTGCAACCTGCCCTTCCATTTCGTATATTACTTACTTTTCCATTTAAGATACATCTTTCTTCCAAAATAAAATTAAAAAACAACAAAAATGAGCAAAGAAGAACAAACTTTAGTGTGTG